CCTCGTCATTGAATTTGCCAGGCCTGGCACAGAAATCACCGGCGCACTCGCACCAGGAACCTTCAAACGTCCCTGCGTAGCACCAGAGCTGGCCGGACCAGGAGTCATGCAAGGCCCCACGCCTGGGCCTAAGGTTTTGGCTTCGGCTTGNNCGCTCCACATAGTCCTCCGTATCCTTGAGATGATGGAGCATTATCTCGGCCCACCGCGGTTCGAACAGCCTCGAAAGAGGCTGATCCGATGCGTCCACCGAAGCATGGCTGGCGAAGGAGTGGAACGGCGGAGCAAGCTCCAGGCTGGCCTCGGCCGCCAGCGTCCAAGAGCCCTTGTCGAGAGCAACCTGGTCGGCTTGGAGCAACATGAGCGCTGCACGAGCTCGGGCCTCTGCCGGGTTCGAGTTGATGAGGCAGTCCAGTATGCCGGCCGCCCCCCAAGCAGTTCTCACAGCCGCCGGGTAGTTGGTAAGCCGGCTCCTGCTTTCCAGCCACGCCCGAGCACACAAAGTCGGCTTCGGCATCCCAGGGGCCAGCGTGCGGGAGAGAAGGTCCTCCAGCATCAGCTTCTCGATCGTGGTATAAATCTCCTCGGGGCTCTCGTGAAGTGCCTGCCTCAGGGCACGCCGAGCCAGAGAGTTCTTTCTGCTGGAGATCCCGCCACCGTCTTGAGCACCAGACCCTGCGGCTGCGCCTTCCAAGGCTTGCTCCAGACGAGAACCTCGCTTTGTCTTCTGGGTCTGCAGGTCCTCCACAAGGGTGGTGAGCTTCACCAGGGCGTCGCTTATGGGATCTCGGGAGAGAGCCGTTCGCAGCCGCCTCCTCCGGGTCGTCGGGCGGGCCTTCGTTCTCCGACTCGTCCAAGGCCGCCTTCTTCGGAACCACACCAGCCCCTGGGTCTTTCAGGCGCCGCGCAGGGTTGCCGGCCAACAGCTGGGAAAACTGCTTCAAGGAGTCCATGTCGATGCCCGCTGTCAGAGCAGATTTCACAACCCCGGGATCCAAGCCCGGGAGGCTTTCCACCGCCTGGGGAGGCCGAGGCGGAGGTGGAGGCTTTGCCTTCTCCACACGATCCAAGGTAAGAGCTTGCATCGACGAAGCCATCGTAGCAATCGATTGCTCCAGCTTTGCGAGTCGAGCTTCCATTGCAGCTTCCGCCGCTTGAGGTTGGGCAGCAGGCATAGGTGGCGCTTCGCCCTCGGTGGCCGTGGCAAACTGGAACTTGTCTTTCGCCACTTCCATCAGGGCCTCGGCATGGGGCACAAACCCAGACTCTCCGCCCAGCGTGGCGAAGGCCACATCCACCTCGCCGTCGTGCTCGAAGACCAAAGCCTCCACCAGGGAATCTCGAAGGAAACCAAGCCATATCTTGAGACGCTGATTTACCAGCAAAGTCTGTCTGTCGTCCCGAGCAGCACCGGCCACCTCCACAGCGACCGGCTTGCTCAGGGAGCCAGGAGGCAAACTACGGGTTAGCAGCCCGCCTGTGCCAGCCCCCCTGCGGAACAGCCACAAGAGAACGGCCCTCCAGCTCGCAAATCAAGACCACCTCAACCAAGACCTCGGGAGAGCCCTCGGCAACGAGGACCCTGAGCACGCCCACTTCAAACTCACAGTCGGCCGTCTCCCCGTCGTAGAGATACAGGGTCCTGCCGTCGACCCCGTCCTCCTCACCCTCTTCGGCACTCATAGGTCCAGGGGAAGCTCAAAGCCTCCTGCCTGAAGGGCTACCTTGATATCTCCCTTGCTCGGGAGGCCGATGAAAACCGAATCTCCAACGTCTTGCCCTCGCTTCACCAATGCTTTGCAGTCAGAGAAGCGCGAAAAGACCAAGGGAGGCGAATGAACCCGCCCCTGAAAATCACGGATAACCACCCAATGCCTTGAAGCCAGCTCCAAAGAATCGCGTCCGGAAACACCTCGGTGCCCTCCGTCCAGGGCTCGCCTCAGGAATTCGCCCACTCGCTTGCAAATCCCGACCCTGTCCCGGTCCGAAGGTGGTGCCAAAGCAGAGGTCGAAGGCAAAGCCGCCGAAGCCGAAGGACCCCGTGCAGAAGCAATAGAGCCCGACACCCCAGCAGCCTCCGAGCTGTCCACCAAAGAAAACCCCTGGTTCAGGTCCTCAAGCTCGGCAACTCGAGCTTGCAAGCGCAGCACCTCGGATCGAAGACTGGACACCTCGGCCCACAAAGCCTCGAAGTCCCGAGCAGAAGGATAGCTTCCCCTGCTCATGCACCGTGTGCCAGCTCAAAGCAGCCGATAGAGCGGAGCCCTAGAATTGAACCCCAATCGCCGCAAGGCTGCTCTGAACAGCAAAATGCGGGCGGTGAGGATGGCTTCACACACAGGCACCAAAAGCAGCCCAATCAGGATCCCAACACAAATAGATGGCAAATGAATCCCAGAATAAAGTGCCACCTCAATGTCTGAGCGCTCGGCTGGGCAGATCTGATCTAGCGGCGATTCCAGAAAAGACGGAGGAGACGAGTCAGACGGGACCGAGGGCGACTGAGACGAGAGAAAGCGAAGAGCGTGAAAGAAGAGAGACAAGCCTGAAGTCGCACCAGTCGCTACGAGGGCCCTTGTCATTGAGCCACAAAACTTACCGGTCGTTCGAGTAAAACATGAATCGGCATTGTCATCATGTGCCCTTCAAACGCTTTGCCGAATAAGCCTCGGACCAGAGTTGCCTGCATTCCGAGCCTTCTGTCGTAGATAGCAGTAGAAAATAAGGTTTCCCGCCTCGGCCGAACTGCGGCCGAGATGCCAAGTAGCCCTCAGCTGTCGTACGTTCCGAGTAAGCTGATGTCACTTCCTGGTCTGTGATGGCAACAGCTGGAGGTAGGGAGGTCCAGCGTGCATCTGCACTGGGGGTTGGTGTCGCCTCTACAGGGCTTAGGTAGGGTCTGGGGTTGTTCGGGTTTTCCTTTCAGTTGAAGGTTTTGAGGCTCTTTCCGGTATCTCTTTTGAGGGTCTACGTTTTGCGTTTACCAAGGTTTGGGGTTTCAGTGTTGCCTCGGGCTTAGAATCTTGGCTCAGGGTTTTGGATTTGTTAGGCTTCATGGTTTGAGTTTGGGGCTTTGGGCTTCTAGCGTTTTCGGGTAAGTCGCACAAATATGGCGGGATACGGGTTGTTTGGAAAGTTTGTGCCTCCCGCATACTGTTTGGGAATGAAGGTTTGGGGTTTGGGTTGTTTAGTTTAGCGTTGAATCAGGGTTCGAGGTTGGTAATTCGACACTCACACTCGCACACAGCAGGCAAGGCTCCACATGGTTGGTAATTAAGGGTTGGGGCTCTTCAAGGTTTGGTAGCGAGAGGTTTGAGGAGTTGAGGATTCTTTGTGTTTGAAAGTGCTGTTGCTTCGTTTAGGTTTACGCTCTTGGGGCTCTTCTGGTTTGTGCTCAGTAGGTCGCACGTTTGGGTTCTGTTCGCGTTTGGCGATGGGCTTTATTGGCTGAGGTCGCCTTCGTAGTGGCAGCAGCATCAGCAGGAGGAAGGGTTGCCCCCGCAGAAGGATAATCTTTGGCAGTTGGCTCTGGGCTCATCTGCGTCGGCGGCCTGTACGACTATGACTATAACTATAATAACCGGTGCCCCACTTCCCAGCTCTAGGCTTGAGAGCGGTGTTGTATTGAAGAAGAAAATCAATCTGCAAGCACCTGAAAGCTTTTCCTTCCAAGAAGCCAATGTCTGACCCTGCTTTGGGCGGAACGCCATGAACTCCGGCGGATTGGATAGTTTTGCAGTTTTGGCCACTGCTCGTGAGTTCTGGCAGGATGAATGTCTCTGCAGTGCTTCTGCTGCTTTTTCTGTCCTGGCTGCGTGGCCTGTCGACACGACGGTTACATAGCAGCCTATGCGGTTTGTCGGCGACCCTGGGTCACTTACTTGGCTCGTTGCTCATTCAGAGTTCTTGTCTAGCTGCTCTGCATGGCACCTGCACGACTGCAACACCTTACGAGGTGACGTTGAATAGGCCTCTCTGCACACGTTAGGACAGCTCGGATTCATGGGTGTTATCTGCTGCTGATCGACCGGGCAGGATACACACTGCACGTTTGATGACATGAGCATGCCTGAGACAACAGTGAAGTTCCCACCTGTGCCAGCAGCCATGCAAGAGGTCACCTGTCCACAAACGCTCGCTCATACCACGGCACGCCCTCACACAAACTCGTGGACTGTGCATGCAGAATTCCGGCTCTCTCAAGCAGGACTTAGAGCCAGGACTATCTCAAGAACGCCAGAGCAAACCATCGTAAGTTGAAGCAACCCTGAATCAACCTTCAGGTGCTGCTCAGGCTCCTTTGGCTGGAGGCTGAGGGACTCTTTAACTCTTTGCTCTTGCCAAAGCATTCGTTGCTCTCCCCCGGACCATCTACAATAGCTTGAGTCTGTACTAATCGAAAACTTTTGCTGCGTGTGCTATCCAACATTCAATTGCACAAGGCTTGGGGCTTTGGCACGGAAGCTTTACGACAGGAGCCTCTGTGCACTGATCTGCAATACGTGCTAACGTGAAGTACGGTGTGGGCGGAGACTGCAGGATCCGGTTGAAGATAGGTGGAACCCCTCTTTGCATGCAGGATGGCAAAGTTCTGTGGGCCGTGGCGATGAAGAAGGCTAGGAGTGCGATCCTAATTGCGCCCAGCATGTCTCGAACTAGAAGATCTTAGTTGTCATGATCACAGACATCATTCGGCGCCCAGTGGCTCAAGATGATGAGCTAGCCTTCAATTGCATGCAGCTGGTGGTTCGGGTCAATCGGGAGGGAGCCTCGGCCCACATATGCCCCACTGAACCGAAGCTCCGAATCAACCCTCATCCCATTCGCCGCTTCTCAGCCTCCACAAGCCGCCGCCGGTCTTCGGCGGCCAACAAGCTCGTGGACGGGTCCTCCGCAGTATGAGCTTGCAGGTAGCTCTGCCTGCCCGCCGCAGCGTGGACCAGCAGCTTGCAGCTGGAATCTTTCAGCATCCACTCGCCGCAACGTGGACTTGGACTCGCTCAAGCAGTGCTCAAACCTCCGCCAGAGGCAGAAAGCCGAAACAGCTCCTGTCCGGGCACGATGCTGGAACCCACGCAGGACCACAAATGGTCAAGCCTGGCGGCAGTCTAGTTTCAAGGCAAAGGGCCCCGCATAGGTCCCTTGTCGCCAAGAAGCACTTGAAGGCTGTGGCTCAGGGTGCCCGTCACGGAGAAAGGCTTGACCTGCTGCTGCTGGAGACGAGAAGCTGAAGCCTTTGTAAAAGTACCTTCGTGAGCAGCCATGAGCAACTGGGATTTTCTCCCTGCGCACAGGCGAGATTGAGCAGGCAGACTTTGGCTGCAGCCCAAGTCTATCAAGCGACTTGGACTATACAGTGCAGCCTTGGCAAAGCAGAGCGTGCGAGCTGCATAAATACCGTGCAGACTCTGGATCAACTGGAGTGAGGCCGGATCTTACGAGTAATGGAACGCTCGCATGCTCTGTGCTATGCAGACGCTTTGCAAGCATGTCCTAGGACCATGACAAGGTCTTCACACTTCAGTTGTGTCTAAATGCTTCTTGAGTGCTTCAGGTCTGTTGTTTGAGCTCTAAGCCCGGACAGCCATTGCATCGCTGGGCTTCTGAGGCCGGAAGAGCTTCACTGTCTCCACGTCCTTCTGCTGCCCAGGCCTGCGCGAGCTTGCCAGAAATGTCCGATTTCTGGTGCAGGTTGCATTTGTAGGCAAACCGATGCTCAGCGGCAGCCTCGCAACTACCTGGGGCAGCTCCTTCTCAAGCTCTTCCTCTCAGGCATGTCGAGAACAGCCGGAACTACTCAAACGTGTCGCACTGGACAGGCACAACAGCTTCTGAAGGCCCTCCTCGTCCTCGTGCTTTTCCGTTAATCGCCGTTGCAAGCAGTACCTGCGACATGGACACCGACCCATGACAAAGGCTTGACAGATGAAGTGATGAAGCCACTGATTGACTTCGAGTTGATTAGACCCGCGCACGCTGCCAACAAACCCAGGAAAGCAACGCCACCCATGGTGGTTGCCGCTGCCACGACCTGCCAGGAACGCTATCGGGCATTTTTCCAGAAGAGGGTCCTTTGCCACGAGGCAAGAGTCCTGAGCCTTCAGCACAAGGCCCTTGAGCCCAAAGCCTAGTACCCCGAAACTCTCTGAGCCTAAGGATAATCTCGAACCCTGGCACTCTATTCTTCCACAACTTTTTTTCAAGGTTCAGGTGCTAGAGACTGCACCAGTACCCATATATCACAATCACGAGTCATTGCTTGCAGGATAGACGAAGTTGTAGTGACTATGAGAGGTATCTCTCTCTGGCCACTCGCCATCTGCGCGATAACAAGCGTTGTTTGGCGGATTGATGTCCGGCAGATCAGGGCTCAGGGAAACGGCGACGTTCGGACGCGACATTTCGGGAAACCCAGAATTTCCATAAGTAAATTCAGGAAACACATGCCGACATTCGCGCAATGAGGCCACACATTTCAGCCGCACACCCGCCGCAACTCAAGCTCAACATGAGGCTGTAGGTCTTCGGGGCTCGAGATTTTGGCGCGCCAGGGCTGTGGGCTAGGGCCCAAACCGTGAACCTATAAGCCCTCAACGCTCTGCCCTTTACCGATGCAGCCCTAAACGACAAACCTAACAACGGCCAAAACCCGAAACATCCCGAAACATGTAGTGACGGACATTTCTACCCACCGAGGATGAAAAACCAGAAACATCAAAAGAAGATATTGGTTGGCCAATCGGTAACCACAAACGGATACAATCGGAGATGTTGGTTGGCACACCTCAAGACCTAAAGGAAACGGAGCTTGATTAAACGCCAACCTCAAACGGAGATATTGGCTGGCAAACTGCAAACCCTGACAGAAGATGATGGTTGATGAATCCCAAACGGTTGTTGGCTGGCCAAACCAACTCCTAAAGGGAAAAAGGAGAGGTTAGCGAACCAAAAGGATATGTCGGCCAATACTCAAAACCTAGACTTATACAACTTATACGGTTCACAAATCCCCAGCACGTCCTGATTGGCAAACCCCAGACCCCAAAAGAGGAGATGTGCCAAAAACCGCTGTTGAGCCGGGACAACACTGCGCTAAGCCCTGGATCCCTTCATCCAAGTTCATCCAAGTTCCAGAGGCCAGCCCTAAACCTGAACCCCAAAACCTCAGTGCATGTTGCAGCCCCGCGATTGAAGCCCGTGCGCACCATGCCTGAGCTTTCGGGTTTGTTCTCGGAATTGGGTGCGCCAGTTTCCTGAATCGCAGCCTGTTTTTCGAATCTTGGAGTCTGAACGTCCGCGCGGGTTTTCATTCCAGGCCCGACTTGCCGCTCGTCCTGGACGGGTCGACCCCCCTCACGCAATGGATCAAGCTGAACGGCCGGCAGGTAGCTCTTAAAGGTATTACACGATTGTAATGTACTCCAACTGCAAATGGACCTGCAGTTGCCCAACAACTCCAAATGCACATCTTCGGCTGCCCACTCGACGGCAGTGCTGAGGCTACCCTTTCAGTTCCTCAACCCGACTCATATGGCCTGTCGTAACCACGCGCTTGAGGGTGTCGGCTTGCGTGCTGCCGCTTCCAGTCTCGATTGACCATGCGGTGGGACATATCAAGCGAGTACTCCACCATTTTTGTGTGCACGGCAACTCGGATCCACGATTGGGAAAAATTGCCGCGGGAAAGCCCTGCACCCTGGCATGACGCTACCGTGTCTCCTGACTGCATCGCGTGGAAATTAACGTTTGTTCTCACACCACGGGGTCCAAGTGGCTCCTGCTTGCCAGAATTGCAGAGATGCTGGAGTCAATGCCATGTGTCCATCCATCTAAATTCGTCTAAAGTCACATGGCTCAGCTGCCAGAGTTCGGCCTTGCAAGCAACATACCATGAGCGCTGATGTTGAGCAAGAAGTCGTGTGATGCTTTGTAACGGAGCCGCTGCGCTGCGTCGCATCTTCGTTCATCCTTCGTGTTCATATGTCTTCATCTCATTGTTCGTGCCCGTGTCATTCCTCTAAGTCTGACGCAGGCGGGCCCAAGCCATACTCCTGTGACGTATCATCTCATTCCGTTTTGTATGTCATTCCTTGGGACTGGCATACTCGGCACCAAATTCCTCATCATATCTTCGTTAACACAATGACAACAAGCATCATCAAGCCGTCGACCAGTGCATCTGCAGAAGTTTCTGCTCGCTGCCCGTGACATGTATACGACAGTTCGCTGATGACAGTTTCATGTTCATGACATGAGGGCGTTTGCAAATGGGCGCCCGAATTAACGACACTATGACTATGTCGTCGTCCTCATGAAGCTGCGGTCTCGCTGTCTTGAGAGTTGCTTCCAGAGTTGTGTCGGAGTTCTTCCATATGACCTGGGCAAACTTTGGCCGAATGGAGCAGAACCCACATTCGCGTGGTGTAGTGACAGTGTAGTGCCAGCTTCCCCTTGTGCCAGAACCTTCGGACACATGCATGAGATGGCTCATTGAGGCGTCCCCTACTTTGCCGTTTAACCCGAATTTAAGAACAGCTTCTTGGGATGCGCCGCTCGCAATGGAATCCCTGGAAGAAGAACAAAAGCAAGAAGAAGAAGAAGTCGGACAGATCCGATAACCTGGAGCAACCAAACTCTGCAGCCTTCGGCTTCAACAGAGTTGGTCTTGGCTGCGACGGCACAAGGCCCACTATGTGTTCCTTCACATAGTTTGACCGTCAAGCGTCTACGTCTACTGGAGCACATGGAAAGAGAAACTCAATGTACCGGGACAGAATCTGGAACGGGCGCAGGCCTTCATCGCGGCTCCTTGTCCGCTCCTGAGCTGCCACTGCAAACATGCCGTGTCGTTTCCCAGAACATAACCGGCGGAAATCTGCTGAATGCTCCCCTAGCTGCATGAGCTCTGCCGACGTGGGTGCAAGAGTACCTGCTTCAGTCCCATGAACAGACTTTATGCTAGTAGCACGGAGTACGGACACGCCAAGCCTGCGTAAACGTGGGCAGCTGTGGTCGGCAGGAGTCCAAGCAGGGTCCCTGGCACACACGACAAGTTGTAGATGTAAGGCTTCTCATGCGAGCATGGCGGCTTGAGCACCCGATGGAACAGATGCCTGGCACAAAAATGCTCCACGGAATGTCCGTGAGCAGGGACAATGCGTAGTTCTTGACAACGCAAGGGAGTGGTGCTATCCTGGCACTCAGACTGATTCACATGTATGCTATGCAAAATGCCGGACTCTTCTCCTGACAAGGAAGACGGATGCATGCCCTCCCTGCTCAACACCTTGGAGCTCAGACGCCCATCATAGCCACAGTGCCGACTGAACAGCTCCATGCAAATCTGCGCAAAGAGTTGTCTGAGTTGGAGGCTCTTGGCTGCCTTCGTCGCCACGGGCCAAGACTCCATTCGCTGTCTGAGTGACCTGGGGTACTGCATGTACCGCCGACCAAAGCACATGGTTCAACTCTTGTTTCACTTCGCATTTCCAGAATCACTCTTCATCTTGCGGACATGCCAGTGGGTTCAGTATGATTCAATCTTATTCCACCATGCATGCACAAAGAAGGTGGGGTGCACAACCCTCGGAAGAAAAGCCCAAGCTCAATGCTCGCGCAGCTCTTGACAGCCTGGAGCATGACTTCTTGACTCTTCTACAGCGATGGCGCCAAAACGTAGCAGAAAGCGTGTGCGTGGATGGGTGTCTGGCAGCCCACTGACCGACCAACGCCAAAGGCGGCCAGTGCTCCCACGGCTTTCCCAACGAAGGCCAGCTCGAGGCCCTCGGCGGCCGCACGCCGGGTACGCCGGGTTCGCGGGAGGAGCACACAAAACAATCTCAGCACCTTCTGGAAGCCAAAAAGGTAGCCTTCGCCTTAGAATGGCGGCCGCAGCTGCGGGCTGGCTGCATCAAAGCTGAGCACGAGGCCTAGCTCGAAGGCAATGTGCCCGGGCAACGAGAAGACAATGGAAGCGGCATGCAAAGGTATTAACCTCACTCCGAGGGTCCAAACAACATCCAGCACTGCAGACGTCTGAGCAAGGTGGCGAAGGTCTCGATGCAAGCATGCGGCGCGACAGGTGGCGTTGCCTTCATGGCACCTACCACATTGGACATCGTCTCCTTGTCAAAGAGGAACCTAAGCAGGCGCAACCGCTGAGCCGGGCAAACGCGTCTTCACAACGAGAACGAGGATCTCGCGACGTGCCATGCCGGGCGCTGATCTCCCTAGGCCATGCCGCTGCCTCGGTCAGATTGCACTCTTCTGAAGATCCTCAGCAGAACAACGGAAAGGGGTGACTGCATCTTGCTGAACACCAGGTCAGGCCCTCACGCTGAAACCTTGGTTTGCATCCGACTGCGTGTCGGACTGAGATCCTGTCATCGGGCATGCGCGGTCTTGCTCAATACGTGTGTACTCTCACGGCCGCAGCCGCGGGCCAGCCCTGTCACATGATTGCAAGGCAATTGGCAAAGCCATCACGTTTTGTACCTGCTTGCCAGTCCGAAAGCCTCCGCAAGAAGTCAGAACCTCAGGCATGATGATAGCTCACAGGTCCTGACGAATTGCCATCGCACACCTGGATGTCGCAGGCTGCCTTCACTTTGTACACCCTTCCAAGCCAGACCATGGCGCACTTGTCGACCAGAAGATCCATCAGATCAGATCGACATCTGCTCTGTGTCGATGCAACTGATGGCTTGGTGAAGCAGGCTATGCCGTGCTCGACACCCGGTAAGACTACTTTCCTCTACAGTAGCTGTATCTACCGAAGCCACCGTGACCTGGAGACAACTGGTTGCGCCGCATGTTCGCACATCTTGCTTCGTGGCCATTTGCCATTTGCCCACCCACCCACTTTGGCTTGCATGTTGCCTGCGCCAGCGGCATGTTTACCCGGCTGTAAACTCTGCGCAGAAGAGAAGTCTTGTGCAACATTCGGTTTGATCTTGTAGTGCCCGAGCCAACATAGCCGACATGAGATCCATAAGCACTTGCGAAATTCAGATTCGGGTGCTTCGCATTGGATGCATCTCTATAAGCTTCAGCATTGCAGGCATCAACATATCGCTTTCTGCCCCTATCGGCCCTATCGGGAGCAACCCAGCATGCATCTTGAGACAAATATGGCTACCTACGGTGGCAGCGCAACATCGCACTCATGCATCATTATCAAGGGCATATCCGACATGTAATAACAATGTAATGTGCTGGACCAGTGGCTGCGGCCTAGAGCGTGCCACGACTGGTCGTGTGGACCCTGCAGAAACGCAGCAGCCTGCGGGTGTCCAAACGCAGGGAGAGGCTCAAGTTTGCAGGAAACTCGGAGTAGCCTTCGCGGAGCCGCTTCCATGCAAAGGCAGGCCCAGGCCCAGCGACCTCGGAGCTCTGCGAGCCTGGATCCGTGAGACACGTGCAGCTTGGGGTGGCACATGTCCACATGGTCGTGGTCGTGGTCCTGGGGTCCTGCAATGAGAAGTTCTGCATTGAATTTAAAGTTGAGGGCTGAAAACGGTGAGAGCCTGAGGAACTCCAGCTATGGAAATGAGCCTCGGTGAAGCGGACGCAACGGTCGCCTCGCTCTTTGACAAGTCTGTCGACCCCGAGTCCGCAGCGAGGCTGTGGTCATAAAGCCACGTGGCATCGAAGGGAAACGGCATGTGAGAGCTGAGAGCTCACTGACTCACTGGCCGCTGAGGGCCGCTAGGAACATTGGCCGTAGCATTGCAGACTGGTCACGGCTGCGGGTCGCACCGGAGATGTGTGCGAGGCTAAAGGCGGGTGCAGGATGTGCACAACGGCACGGAGCTTTTCAGTTGTGTTCTGGATGCCCAACCATCTCGCACCTCCTCGCCAGCAGCCAAGCCCTGAGAACAAAGCGTCCCGAAAGTGGCTGTCAGGCTGTCAGTCTGTGATGCTGCTGCTACCGCAGCCAGGAAGCGATGGCCGTCACAGCTGCTGCCGCAGCGTCAGCACCTACGTAACAACAGAGTCCCGGTACCAAGCGCTCTGACGCTGCTTCACCCAGGTTCGCGCCACCGGATTCTGCACCACGAGCACTTTGAGCGAAAGACCTTCCAACAACCCAATGCCCACTACAAAGTGGTGCTACGTACCGGTCATGACTTTAGAGACTTTATAGAGGCCTTCAGAGCCTCTGGTGAGAGTGTTGTGTGTGCGAAGTGTGGCTGCCACTGTTTGTTGCAGAAGGAACAAGGCCCCGAGCAACTCTGCGCAGGGGGACTCTGCGGTCTGCAGGCCTCGCAGCTGTCAGTGCCAGGTCTTCCACCCTGGCACTGGGTCATCGAAAACCCGCAACAAAACCGTTCCGAACGACGAGAGCTCATGGCAGTGCCGAGTGTGCCAGGAAAGAGCGCTCTTCCAGCAAACTGCTGGGCTTCCGCGCACTGCCAGTGCAGCCTGCCTCAAGAAAAACACAGCAAGCACCTATCAAAGCTGGCAGGAGGTCAGCTGTTCAGCGGGACACAGTGCATTTGGCTATCAAGAAACATCAAGAAGATTGGGGCCCGGCGCGAGCCGCTGCAAATGCTTGGGTGCTGTGTCTGCCGGCGCTGCACCTTTCGCAACAGAGCGTTGAATTGCAACTGGACGCCGGTCTGCCAGTGCCAGCGAGGCAGACTTGTATGGTCGGCTCGTCTCAGCCATCGACCACATGCCAAGAGTGCCATGACGCGTGCCTGAGCCATGAAAGCAGAAAAGCCTCCAGCGATCGCGCGAAAATTGGCAGCTGGATATCACGACTTCAAGAAGGCGGCCATGCGAAGGTTGATGGAGTCCGCGAGCTGGCGGAACCTCAGCCCGAGCCAAGCACCGCACAAACGATCATGTGGGCAGCTACAGGGATTTGCTCATAATGTGTCCGGCTATCGCATGCTCACCATGTAGCCGGTGCTGGTCGATTCTGTAACAAGTTACAAACCGGATCCTGCTTGACAGTTCGATGGCTCACCACCGAGCAAGTGGCGGGCTCTGCGCATCCACTCGCATTGGCCACTCCTCACGACGGACCAAGCCGCTCAGCGATGCGACCTCCATCAGCGATTTTGCTGGCACTCTCTGAACCATTGCCGGTTCACGCCCACGCGGACAGATGCTGCAAGGCCCACCTGCGCGGCCGACGGCTGGGACGAAGCACTCATGGAAGACCTCGGCGCTTTCCAAGTCCCGGCCCTGCAGTCGAGATCTGCACTCTGAGCAGCCAGCGTTGAACCGGCGACAAGTCCTGCAAACCACCAGATGCCAATCATGTGCATGGCGACGAGCTGGCTCAGCTGGAGATTGCAACATGAAAGCAGTAGCCTCCATCTTAGAAGGCTTCACTGACTTGGTGCCCCACTCAGATTGCCTTCTTGATTACCTATTACAATCGAGCCACACCTTAACCCCTGAAGAGTTTGAAGATGCCGACCGCAACCCGGCTCAGACCTTCCAGAGTGCGCTCGAGGACGGCCACCACGCGCAAACGGATCCAACCTGGCCTTGTCTGATTTGGAAAAATACTTTGCTGTGCGTTTGCCCTTCGGGGTAAAGGAACGCGTCATCCCAGATGCTGGTCTCCCAGTGCTTTCCCTGGAACCTTGTCCCTGAGCTCCGGGGCTTGCACAACCCGAATATCTCAGGAGTTGGCCTGCTCAGCACTTCCAGTTGGCCGCGTCCTGCTTTCGTTGATCCACCTGAGATGCAAACTTCGGCAAACGTTGGTAAGCAACGGAATTCAATCCCAGAAAGGCGCATCTGACCGCAATTGCACAATGGGGCTCCAACGTGGGAGGTCGCCTGCCTTGGACACGCAATCACTGCCTACTTTGTCAAAGTTCGATTCTACTGCAGGGACTTATGCTCATAAGTCATGTGGTATCGGGTAATATCGAGTGCATCACATAGTAGCATCACTTCACGATGCGCACCACCTGGAGTCCGAGCGAAATCACTCTCTTTTTGTAGGTCGCAGGACGCTTCGGGGTGTCAAGAAGTCAAGAAACTAAAGAACTGTCCGTGGCATTTCCCTGCAGCACATTGCGGCGTGTCATGGTATTCGCTATGGCAAGGATCACAGCAATGCCTTTGGATAAAAGAAGGCAGAGCTGGTAGGAGGTACGCGCTGTGCGAGCGCCCCGTTCCAGCTCCCGCTTAGTGTGTCAAAGCTGGAGAGCTACCCGTGACTCAGAGCCTCCTATGAGGAGCTTCAATAAGATTGCCCTTGAACCGGCGCTGACTTGGATGAAGGCACATGGACGGAGCCTGGCAATCGTTTGCAGGTCTCTTGCCCCACAGATGCGCCCATTCGGTGATCTGAATTCCGACATTCACGCAATGACGGAAGTAAGAGTTTTCTTATTTCAAGCGGACCCCGTGTTCTCGCTACAGTAGAATTAGGTCCGGGCTTGCATCCATGCTCGCAGACAAAAGTCCCAGATCTGTGAATCCAGCTGAGCCTGGCCAAAGCGAGTGCCAGTGCTGCATGATGCTGGCGCGCCCAGCGGTTTGTCTTTCATGACGCAGGCCTGCCCGGCTTGCGCACCTTCCAGTCCTGGCACCAATCTTTGCACGTCTCGGATCGGTGCCATGGCTTTTGCTCTGGTGCCCCGCCCTGTGCCCTTTACATCAGGCGGGCCTGCCTGGCTGTTGCCCTCTCAGCTTTCCTTCCAGGACGTCTTGCATGGATACCTTCCGACTCAGCACGTTGGTCACTTGCTGGACCAAACTTGATATGCTACTTCGCGGGTGACTGGGCCTGGGCAATGGCGCGCCCTGGCTCCAGGACGCCATCCTGCCCGGATACGAAGCCGGCAAACGAAGATTGCCAGCGTCTGTCTGTTGAATTCGGATCTCGACTTTGCAGTAAAACCCGGCAAACACACCGGAGCCTTCGCGGTCCCGGAACGCTTGAAGCACGGTTGCAACTGCAGGAGGCAGGGCCTGACACAGCTGTGCAAGTGCGCGAGGCAACTGCGATCCTGCGGACGACTCATTGCGACCGCGGTGCAGGACCAAGTCGACATGAGAGTGGAGCTGGCAGAGGGTCCCTACCTCAGGACATTACGTGGACGCCGCATCTGCCCTTCACAAACATCTCTTTGTGATGATGCCACAATACGCCACAGGCGGACGTGCAGAACTGGGCGAATGCGAGAGTTTCTCAGAATCGAGACCGAGGCCACACGAGAAGCCTCGTTGTGACTGAGGACCTGACGATCGGAATCAAGGCAGGTGTGAGACTATTCGCCACGACTCTGTCAGTGGCCTGTTCGCTGCCTAGCCGGCTCAGGTAAAGCTCCAGAAGCTTGAGACCTGGGCCAAGTGCCAATTACTCTGCAAGGCTCTGCAAGTTCTACATCAAAGCTTTGCAAGGCTCTGTTTCCAAGCCCTGGTCCAGCCAAGGCAGGTGGGCGTATTTTGGCAGGGCAGTGGCATGCTCGGCTGCCAGCCATCCTCTCGCACCTCCGCGCTCACGTGGGACCTGAACTGCACACAAACTGGCTGCACGCGCCGCACGCCATCATAACATCATCAGGGCACAAAGGCTTTCGGTCATCCATCTCGCAGTTTGTCTCTGGGCTTCTGGCAGGGCACTCCGTACCTGAGCGACCCATCAATTAGAATCTTCAAAGAAGTGCCGAAGGACATCGAAGGAACAAACAAGCAGTTGCAACCTCTGGAGTTGAGAGCACAAGCAACACAGTTCTGACTAGCGGGCCTGAAGTGCAAGGTTTGTAGAAAAGGCCGCAATTGCATCCTTGAGCACTGGACAAATCTCTTCTCCACAACTCGGCAACAGGTGCGTGGCATTTGGACCCACGATGTCAAGCCTGGGGAAGGGCCTCTAGCATGTAGGCCTGCGCCGCCGTTTCCGTGGTGAAGTGCGGATTTTTGCGACGGCTGAGGCTGCACTCATTGTGTAGCCAGTGTCTTTGTAAGCCTGGAAGGAGCGGAAGGACGCCCGCACATCCATGCTTCCATCCGTTGCCACCATGGCCTGAGTTTGCAACACCGAACACCGCGCACTGGGAGTCGACCAGAGCCGAGCTTGGGTGCCCACCAAAGAATCCAAAACGCGAGAGAGGTGAACCTGCAGAACCTGTGGGGCATAGCTGGTCTTCACAGGTAGTTAGCGACCACGGCGAAGGAACACACGAAACGTGGAACAGCATTGCAATGCGAGCCGACTTTACAAAAACGACTGCAGTCTTTCTCCAGTGTGCTGCACATGTAAAGGATTGTAACCGTCTCGGCAAAGCCTTTAAAGGGTGCAACTACAGCAAGACGCAATGTGTGACTTCCTCAGAGCTCCAACAAAAAACCTTCAATGTGTTGGAGAATATCAGGCTTGAGAGCTTCACACTGTCGTGCTCTTTGCAAAGTTCCAGGAGACCTCGCAACCTGGACAGGTGCAAACGGAATGTCAGATGGTGGTCACGGAAAGCTGCAGCATGGGGAGCGCACGCATCGCGTCGCACCTTGGGGCTATGATGCTGAAGGTGGGCAAGCCTTGGCGAAGACGCTTCGTCACTGTTTCCCTGTCGCATGAATGATTTTGCAGCAAAAGAAACGAAGTACAGACGCTCCGAGTGCCAGGGCAGCTCTGCAAGACCCAGCCTGGTAAGAACCCCAGGGCCCAAATGCGACGTCCACATGGGGCGTGCCACACGAGTTTGCCTTCTGTGCGTGACCTCCTCGCCCTTCTCGTCCAAGGCACTTTGTGAGGGCAGCTGCACCTTTGAGCTCCAAGCACAGGGTTTGACGTCAAGTGCGAGCATGCGCAAGTCGCACCATGTCGCACCTTTTTCACCTTGAAATCTGTCTTTGTCTCATTGAGTGGTGCCTTCTTGCTCTTCCCGACCTCAGCAGGAAGTGGACCAGGGCTTTAGGGCTTCAGAAGGCGACCGCGGCCACCTTGTTCTTCACTTTGGTGAAGTCTTTGGCCTTCCTTTTGCTCCCCTTGCTCGCGCTGCTTTTTGTTTTCGATAAGACCTGGCGGCGCTGCAGGGCGAAGCTCCCTCGGGTTTAGGGTGTGGCCGCAGCGAGTAAACCTTTCACTGCTGCCACCTTCCATGCTAGTGGTGGGTCGCAAGTTAGGTCATTAAGCTTGGCTTCCCACGCCTTTTCATTGACACACCTCGCGCCTGCTGAGTACACATGATGCGAATGCTTCGCCTCGCAATTCTTGTATGCGTGAGCCAATGCCAATACCGCGGAAAAAAGTGCAGCATCCCAAGAAGAACGCTGACCTGACCAGCTTACCATCCGTTCTATCATTCTCGCAAGTGTACCCCCAAGCAAAGGGCCTTGGACTTCCGGGCCATGGTCGAAGACCTCCCGGACCCGGACGCCACTGTGACAAATTACACTGCTGAGGCGCTGTCGATGCTGTCGCTGCGTGTGACTCCGGTGCAATAGATCGTCTCCAACTCCATTTTGCCGCGGCTCAAGCTGCCGAGCAGGCATGACACGCAGCGGAAACGAATTCGAAGGGCGAGAAGAAAGACCACAGGTGGAGCACTGATGTAGCACGTGTAATCGTTACGTGAGTAGCTCAAAGCCGGCCGAATCCGCTCCGTAGATTCAAATCGCTTTCGTCAGTTACCCTGGGGGCATGGAAACTCTCATCAGAAGCTGATTCGGCCAACAATTGTCGGCAGCCCATTCATGTGTTGAAAACAAGCCGTGGCGAGCCATAAGCAGAGGCTCAGCGACAACATTCGTCAACACAAATTCACGATCCAGTTCCCCAAATCCTCAAGGATGTCGAGTCATCTCTACGCCCAGCTGAAGGCCCACTGAGACTTGGGATTCGCAACCTGCAACAGGATCGCTACCTGCAATGTCTCGAGGATTTCGGGCCTTGTGCTGCTGCCTTATAACCACTCCTAGTACTCATCGTGCATCAAAAATTGTATCCAACTGCAAGACAGTCTTCGACTGAGCTGTGCTCAAGACGATCGGGGTGCGAGAGGCGTGGGCTCTGCGCTGCACAGCGCAGAGAAACAGTCGCGGTCACCTTCGCCAGTGGCATCGAGCTCACTGCCCAGAAATTTGCAATCGCCCGGCGGCAAGGGCAAACTCCAAAGCCTGCAGGGCGATGCAGGGTACGCCGGAGCTGTAATACTGTGGCATGATGTTGACGAACGGGCTGGTGGCACTGCCACACAAGCAATCATACGCAATGTCAACACAGACCAACACCCCTCTCGGGCCCATACCAACATAGCATCACGCCCCGGCAAAATTGCGCCATTGGTCAAAGTCCTGATCTGCAGCGTGTTGGAGCGCCCCCCGAAAGCACCCCAAAGACTTCGGGCCAGGCGCCCGCCGGCGCTCGCAGCGCACGTGTCTGGCCGGAGACCTTTGAGACTCCCAAGTGGGCTCCACAGCTGCGATGCCAGCGACCCGCTCCGGGAGCTCCTGAGTTTCGCAGGACACGGCGAACCCGACTTTTGGGGCAACCCGCTCTGGTCCGAGTCGCGAAATCGGCTTCTTCCAAGCGCTTTAAAAGAGGAACGCCCAGACTTGAAGCCTAAGGCGTACATGCATGTGTACAGAAGCACAGGAGAATTGGTCGAGCCTGCTTGCGGCGTGCGAGCAGGAGGAGAAGGTCCTCGCACCGACCATCGTGCAGGCCCGGAATAAAAAGGCAGTATGTTGCCTCACTACGTCCGTCCTCCACCACCTTCGGGTCAACAAAAGCCGGGGTCCTTGCACGAACAAATTTCGTCTTTCAACAACACGCGCGAAAGCCGGAGCGTCCGACCTTGGCACCGCATCCTCGGACTCCGTGCGGAGGCCCAGCGCTGCGTCCAAGAGCTCAACAGCCTTGGCCTGCAGCCACCAGACGTCCGAATACATCTCAGGAATCATTTGCTTCATGGGATCGACGCGCTTCATGCTACAGTTGAAAGACGCTGGAACCTTGACTGCCTGCCACTATGTAAACACATGTAAACAAGCCAGAACTGTCCACGGAGCTTGGGCTTGCACCCTCCGCTGTGAAGCTAATGGTCCGAGATGATTTGATGATATTCGTTGACATATGGCGAAGACCAACGACATGGGAAGGAGCCGAGCACGTGATAGGCGCAGTTTCCCGAAGCCGAGGACAAAGTCAAAAAGTGAGGACGCTGCCTCCATCCATAAATGGATGGTAAAGGAGCAACAACTCGAGACCGAAACACACACCGTCTGACACTAACGTACAAGCATCCCTTGCTATCAGTAAACCCTGTTTACACGGGCTGCAAAGTCAGCTTCCAAACTTAGATGTCCACTTACCCACACCCTAGTTATTGCGGTTCTGCGCTGTGTCTCACTGGCATGACGCCTCACAGCAACACAGCGGCTCTTTCGAGCCAAGGACCCAGGCTGCAAACCTCTCAAGAACCTCTTACGCAAACAAGCTGAAGGTCAAGTACATGAGTTTAGAAAATGCCGACACCAGGATGCCAAGCGGCGGTCCAGCCAAGCTGAATGCAACACTGGATCAGAAGCCTAGGACGGGTCATTGGAATCGAGCGATAAAGACTTGCGGAGACCCATGGCATATTGCAGGTGAAGCCGCTCGTATGTCCGGGCACTTGGCATGCACCCCGCCGCAGCCATCCGTTCGTGGGTGGACATCGCCAAGTCGGGCTTTCCTCGCATGTCTTTGCATACTTTGCATAGGCTTCACAGCCTCTCGACTGGAGCGTGGAACTTGGACCGATCTCAGATCGTAGAGTCATAGAGGCTATCTTCGTGATTCCTGATTGCAACAGACTGGGGCAGCGGCCGCAACGAACACAAGCAGCTACAAGAGCTCCGTACCTGCGAGGCTCACAGGGCCAAGCGACCACACAAGGAAGGCTGGGTCCAGCACCCAGGGCAATCTGCCGCACTCCATTGCATGCCAGGTTGCACATAAGCATTTGGCTGCAAGTGATATTCTCGCGACATATCATCGAAAATGGACATGGCACGCTGCAGTTCACCACGAGAGGAATACAGCCGGATGCCTCGATTCTGCAACCCCGACAAGACTTGCTTCAACGAAAGGCGCACACGTTGACACGTTGATGATCGCTCATGTAATGGCAAATGGTGGCCATTGCTGGCAACTTGCAGGTCGCAAGCGTGGCGCTGGAAGGCTGCATGCCCAGCTCCTCGCAAACCACACTCAGCGCTTATCGCATGGCCGCTCGTGAGGGCACCTTCATCTGCGCCAGAAGGTGCTCCGCTCCCTTAAAGAAATTCTGATGGACGCAGGCTTCCAACCTTGAAGGGATTATGAAAAAATAAATTCTGTAAAATCATCGCACATTGCACAGCTCTGCTGTGGCTTTTTCTGCTGCAACGAAGCGCACCTCAACATAGCCTCAACATCTAGAGAGTCACCCGTCCAGCTGCCGGCAAGTTGCAGCACATCGAACAGCATAGCATCCAAGTATATAGTGTCGCGGCGCATCTTTTCCACATATGCCAGTGCCTCCTCCACCTGAACCAACTTGATGAAGGCTGTCTGTTACGTTCGGCTCTTGCTACAGTATAGCTAGCACATGCACACACATCTGAAAAGCAGGCCTTGCCAACGTTGCACAGGCCCCGAATCATCGCGGAGTAGGTCACCTAGGGGGCACCCAACGGAGGTTCGGCAGTGAGACTGCAGGTATTCCACTGCTTGAACGCGCACTTGGCCAGGTTGCAAAGTCAGGCTTTATCTTGTCGCAGGCAAGCTCCTCAAAGAGTGCACGGCCTTCGTCAGCGACATGGATTCTGGAATGCAGAAACTTGCGTGCGTTCAAGCTGTGTTGGAAGATTTATTTGCTGCTTCAAGTCATTCAATCGCACGCACAAAGCCAGGGGCCATCACCAACAGCTTCTCTCTCCCACAACCAGGCCCCCGATTCGCAACTTGTACAAATTTGTCTTTAACGTCCTCACCGGAGAGGCCAAAAACATAGGGGACGACCGGCAGAGAGCTTTTTGCATCCTGCTGGTAAGACTGCACATGATCGTCGAGCGCTGTAGTGAATGACGACACTGACGACGAAGATGACGATGACGGCACAAAGCATCATGCGAATCGTGATG